CGAGGCTCTAAGGGAGAACAAGAAGCCAATTATACAAAAACGTAATCGTCGGACGGATTGAACATACGAAGTACGGAGATATACAAAAAATAGCAACGCAATAGCCACTTGCGAGATGGGTATCCGCATTGGAAATGTAAAATGAATATATCCGTAATTTGGTAGTCTAATGGCATCAAGAGCGCGCCGCGCTCGTTCCGGACGATATATATTTTTTTTTCATACAAGTTATATATCCCGCGCTGGCGAAGCGTTCGGAAAAATTATGTCGACGATGCGGTATCATCGCGGACATGGAGTTTTAATGGGAAAAAAGTCAATTATATAATCGTGAGGTAAATTAAAAATATGAAATACGAAGATGTAAAAAGTAATATCTAGTTGCGAGTGAAACATCCGCGTTCGAACTGTAAAATAAACGTAAAATGAGTATATTTACAATGTAACCGAATGATATCAAGACTGCAGGGCATGCTGGCTTTCGCTTTGCGAATCATATTTCTCTGCACGTGGGAACACTACATGTCGCGCTTGCGGAACGTTGCGAAAAATCAGAGGGAGGCCAAAGGCCGAGTAAACAACACGGATCACCTGTACTCGGCCGGCGGCATGGAGTCAGCGTGACACTCAAAGGACGCACCGGAATACAATAACGCGGTGGTCAGCCGGTCCGGCCCAACCGCGCTGATTGTCGGTGGATCTGCGAAGAGAAAACGGCATTAAAGATCGTTCACGGTGAATTGCGCTCGCGACTATTCCCGGTATCTGCATTTTTACGCGCGGAATCAGCTTCGCGGAAATTTTCTATTGGGTGTGTGAATATGACTCCGCCCTTTCCCAACAGATGTTGCTTTTAGTATTGTTAACGTGTACTAATAACTGGCAACACTTGTATTCGATAGTACTTCATGTCAACTTTCAAACGCACTACGTGAAATTTGGTTTAAGTGTAAGCAACAAATGTTTTACCCTACTTGAAAATGTCGGTTTTCGTTCCAAACAAACATCATTTGCGGGAAGTATTATTACACTATTTTATTGCAAAGAAAAGTGCAGCGGAAACTTATCGTTTGCTTGTGGAGATTTACGGTGCTCCATCTAATACAACTTGTAAGGAATGGTTTCGACGATTTCAAAATAATGATTTCGGAACTGAAGACAGAGAACATGGGAAACCACCAAAAAAATTTGAAGATGCTGAATTGGAAGCATTATTGACAGAGGATTGTTGCCAAACTATTAAAGAAGAAGTTTACCGACGATAACTAATGCGTTTGAAGCGAGCCATAGAAGAAAAACGGCCAGAATGGGTGAATAGGCACAGCAAATTAATTCTTCAGCATGATAATGCCAAACCACATACCGCAGAAGTCGTGAAAAGATATTTAGATGGACAGGACTGGGAAGTGCTACTCCATCCGCCATATTCGCCAGACATAGCTCCTTCAGATTACTACTTATTCCGGACGATGCAGTCAGATCTTACGGGAGAACGGTTCACTTCATACGAAAGTATCAAAATTTGGCTTGATAATTGGATCAGCTCAAAAGACCAGGCAAGGAATACATAAATTACCTGAAAGATGGGCAAAGGTTGTAGCTGCAGATGGAGCATACTTTCAATAAACTTTTCTTTAATTTTCTAAACAAGCAAATGTGTTTTATTTTAACAAAAAAGGGCGGAGTCATATTCACACACCCAATAGAAGATTACGTATTACCGCGTTAAAAGATGTACACGACGTCGCGCGCTCGTAACAATCGCGAGGCTCGAAGAATCACGACACAGCAGACTCCTTGCGATTGTTAGCGACGCAAAAAGTGTAACACCGCGCACATCACAATCATGGCTGTGACGATTCATTGGAAGATGGAAATCGCATGCGGAGAAAAAGAGACTGCTCGAATTAATGTGCCAAATGCAAAGAAATAGAACTTCTACCTCTTGGAAACAAATCGGATTTTCAACATTCCGTTCGACTCGTTAATTCCAGCGATCCTTTTCTCCCGAGCGTGTAGTATTTCGAGAATTTAAAATTTACGTGCGGTTATCGCCATCGCGAGCGATTTGAGATCGCGATACGGTGAAACAATCGCCGAGAGTTATACTTAGTAGTCGCGAAAGTTCTCACTATCCCATAAATTATGGTCGCGCGAACTTCGAGCCACATAATTCGAATAGAGATGACGGATCGATGCGCGAGTATAGCGGCGTACAGACGTTACGTACAGTTCACGGACACCTGGACCGACACCGGGCTGCTCTCGCCTTCGATGTTGGACGCCTCGCAGAGGTAAACGGCCGCGTGGTTTCTGTAAATCGGCGAGAACAGCAGAGTCTCGCCGATACTGGCCACCTCCGTCACACCGGGGCTCTTCGTTTTCCTCCAGAGGATCGAGGCCGGCGGATTGGCGTCGGCGAGACAACGGATCTCCAGTTGATCGCGACCCTCCTCCAACTGGCCAGTTGGGACGCCGACTAATCTCGTCTCCGGCGCGTCTAAATTCATGCGAAACGCGCGCTTAATCACGCCAGCCGCGGCGCATATTAGTCCCGCGCGAATACATGCATATTCGTTGTATTCGCGCGTAACTGTATCCTGGGGAAGGGGGGAAGCGACCGACGCATTTCTCCTCAGCTTTCAATTACGGCAGAAGCTCGCCTCAGTTTTGCCTTCCACTTTCCACACGTCTCGAGCTTTAAACATTCTACGTTCTTAGCCGTGAATTCTCTTGCCCGACCGCTGAAACGTCAGTTTGCCGGCGTAGCCGACGTGCAGCGCATTTCCGGATGTCTACGGAGACCTTCCTGATTACCCGGGTCGAGATTTCGGTCCTGCATTAACTCTGCGAATTCCCTCGACCTCGAGTGACCAGCAAAACTGCCAAGCCTCCGAGAATGAAGGATGAGAATTTGCGCGATCAATGTAGAACCGAAATTCCGACTCGGGCGAAAGCTGAAGGAACGGAGAGAGACTCTCCGTCTTTTCTTTCTCCCACAGTGCATACCACATAACGACACGCAACACTCGGGAAACAACTGCGGACGGAGACACAAAGATGCACACACATATGCATACAGCCGCGCGCATTTGCTTGCATGGTAACGTTGTGATAATAACTTATTTAATCTGGCGCGTTTGATAAGGTCCCGTGAAAGAGAATGGTATCAGAGAACCGAGCAAGGGTATATAACCGGGAAAGCCGGACTGAGAGTTGCGAAGGGTTAATTAGAGACGGTGGATCCACAACGGAGCAAAGATATTTGAGCATGGATTATGACCTCATAACATCAAACGACTCGCGTGAATATTATCCTGCTAACAATATTAATATGATAATGTGCTGCGCGCGGTCGGCGCTTCTTTGGTACGCTCGCTCGTTACCCACTTTCGACGAATCGGCGTAAAAAAACGACAGTAAGAACCAGCCGTAACGATTTTAATGAGAGCCTCGCTCTCGTGGAAATTATCCCGGAAGGGCTCCTTCATATTCATGTCGCTAGGTAAACAAGAGGAATTTAACGTGAATGCGGCAACCGGGTGGAAGCGGCGGGTCTGCCGTCATTGCTAGCCCGGGCTTTAATCGCACCGGAATCGCCGTGCGCGCGCGCGGGCAACCGTGAAAGATAAACATTAGGTACAGAAAACAAACGCGGCGCAAAGTTTTCAGATTAAACCGCTCGTTAATGAGCCCATAATTAAAAGACCAGGACCCATATTCATCCGGCAGCGCGGAGCGTTCGGCGCGTTCGCGCCGCTCTTCGCTATCGAACTCCACGCGATAATTACGCGCGACGTTTCCGCGAATCTCCGTCGCGCTGATTGGCGGACGAACGCGCCGAAAGTGAAACGCGCCCGAGCGAATGTTTATTCTCTCCCCCGCCCGCCCTCCTACTTCCATCTCATTTATTTAATCAGTCATCGTCATTCTCATATCACTCTATTGTAACGTATTAAATAATACTCGCGTCACTCTATTACTATATAATATTATCCTACCATTCATATTTTCCGCCAGCTGTCGGATTACGTAATGTTCGTTTACGCATTCGCAATTTTTCGTCTCCTGCGTTTCTCATCTTTTTTTCATCTGGCCGATCAGAGTTAAGAAGTTCAGTTCAGCTTTTTGCTCTCTTCGACGTTAAGTCCGCCGTATTCTACGATAGAGACGTACGCCGGGACATTGGCGAAGGATCAGAGAGGTAACGAGACGACGATCGCTCGGTCGACGAACAAATTCTTTCCGCAGGACGCGATAAAAATCGGACCGGACTTTTTGACCGACCCAACGCCGAGCTCTTCTCGCTCGAGGAAGTACTTCGAACGCAATTTGTATCGAGCACAGATACGTATTTTTCCCGTAGCTGGTTATCCTGACCGATAACGAGACATTGAATCACGCGGGAACGCGGTCAGCCGTGGCACCGTTTCCCCGATGGGGCGAGTAAGCCAGAAACAACACGGTGTTGACTTCGGTCTCGCGGATAACTGATGGTACCTGGTGGATGTGTGGTGTGTAAAAAAGCGCGAGCTTGGGTCACGCGCGCTAATTACCTCCTTGGAATAATTAATTAATCATCGTGAGCGATGAATTTCGCGAGGTGTGTACACCCGCGAGCGAACGAACGAACGAGCGGTACCGATATCGTCGGCGCACCGAGTTTCGTTTTAGTATTAATTTATATATAATTGAAATTGCTTGCACGCGCGTGCGCGCAGGTTCAGATTGCAATCTATCATCGCTCTCGCTAGTTGAATTTTTAATGAATGATTGATTGTTGTATTATGCATTTACATGCTGTGCGCGCTTTTAAACAACAGAAGCGAAAGAACGCGTGATGAATGAATACGCTGATATTGAAGATTCGTCTTTGGGACGGTAAAAATTGCACACTCGCGCGCGTCTCCGCCCGACGACGTTAAGGGGCATTGTTTAAATGCATCATATTGTGCGTATTTCGTTATTCACCGAGGCGCGTTCACCGGCCCCGATGAATAATTCTTTTCCTTTTAATTCGCTCTCGTTAATCCCGACAGCCGCCGATGATAACGGGCGAGCGGTAATTTTGGGGGTTGATTTTGATGAGAAAACCGGAGCGTACTCGCCGCGTACGGTGATGACGTAATTCATGTTTATTTACGCGATATTTATTTAATTTACCGCCAGTATAAACCGGAGCCAATTTTCATCAGCGAGCCGGTTCACTTCTGGTTTCCATATTCATGTAATAGGTCGTCGTTGCGGCCATTAAAAATGTTAAACGGCGTTACGTTTAATGAATAACATTACGGCATATCCGACGAGAGAGATGAGCTGCAAACACAAACTGAGTTAACCCGCATCGTTTCAAGGCTTTACATGATACATACACGCTCTCTCTCTCTCTCTCTCTCTCGCTCTCTCAATTTACACTACACGACACGATAAAGCCGCCGTGTATCCACCGTTGAAGAAAGCGTCTTTGCTTTTCCGAGAGCTGTTACTCTATGCGCGCGCATTATCTCTCTGTTCTTTTTCTCTCAAATTAAATCAGGTCGCTCACTACTGAGTTACAATTATCACTTGGAAAAGTTGCAATTTCTATGATCTAACGCACACCCGCAGTTTCGCAACTCGCACAAAACGCAGTTATTTTCGTTTCTCTCAAGCCTATGATATTTACTCGAGCGAGATGAAATTTGATTAATTAACGCTGCACGCCCGTCCGTTTCGAACATTCATTGTATTTAACAAATGCCGTGCGCGGGAAAAATATTCGCTCTCGGATGTGGGAGAAACTTACGGACGGCCGGATTAATTATGACAAACAGAGTGGGTGTTAAACCAAGCGAAAATGGTAGATCTTGAAATAATTGCGCATTGGAGAGAACGCGCGCATGCAACGTAATGAGTCGCGTGCGAGATCGAAGCCGTCACTGTCTACCGCGATCGCGCGAATTCAGTTCAGATTTAATTCCAATCTCGCTTAATTCGATTTCATTTTGCAACTCTCTGGCAGACGCGCGCGCGCGCTGACCAACCGCAACCGTGCTGCTTACATTTTCATGAAAACTAAGACAAAGTATGCGGCATTGCGCGGGCGAGGCGAAGCCGCTGTAGTGCGGAGTAACGCGAATCGACGTGAATTAAAATAGAGAGATTTTTCTTCATCGCGGAAATTACACCCGAGATTTAATCGGGAAGACGATAAATACGGCAGTCACGCGCCGAAGAAGCTACGGTGTCCTCCGAAATTTTCCACGGAAAATGTCTCGTCGAAATTGCCCACCAAAAAAGATCTTTTCAACAAAACAAAAAAAAAAGAAACCTTCATCTCCCTTCGAGTTTATTTGCAAACCGTATTTGCAAACTGTAAATTTACATTCGCGAATAGTGAAAAATATGCCACGATATCCGCCATTTCTAAAAATACGAATTCAGGACGGATTGAAAGCATTTATTTCAACTTGTCGCGGAGTGTTACCCTGAAAATTCGGATCGGTCGCGTTTCACGAGACGGTCTGTTAGTTAAATCGCGCTGAAGAAGTCACCTGGACCTCGAAATGAAGAGAGAAGCTACCACGCTTATCATGCCCCGTCGTCGTACAAACGAATGAACGAATCGGACAAGTGCATTTTCGCTAACAGGGACCGCGAGCTGCGCCGTTTCACGATACACTCTTTCGATCGCCCGTAAAATCCGCCGGATTGTCCCAGGCACGAGGAAGAGCGATCGGGACAGGGGTAAAGATGAGAGATGAAAAAGTCGAGCGGCCGATACGCGCGGCTGCTCGAATCGAGTCACCCATTTCCGTTCGGGCGTGGATAGCCAGCGCAGCTATTCATTTCACGTAACAACGATTCCGAAATACGCGCGACGGAACAGCCGCTGACCCATTCAGAATTTCAACTGTGTTCTTTCTCTCTCCCCCCCTGCCCCTCCCTCTAACCCCATTATCTTCTTTCATGCCGATCGGTATCGCGCGTACGCTCCTTTTTATCCGACTTTGCGCACGTGTTCTTTTCTGCGTGTTCTGCAAAAGCGAGACTCAGGGATGTGAATGCGTATTTGAGGATCCTCCTTCTTTTCCTTCTCCTTCTCCGCGAGTTTTTTCTTCCTTTTAGCAAAGATCGAATCTCGTTATGGTAAAGTTATGGCGCAGCGGATAAATCACGAGAAGGCGCTAACTTGTTTGCGAGCCCTCGTCTCTCTCTTTCTCTCAAGTGAACGAACGAACGAGGCGCCGGAAATTAGCGTGGGATCCGGTAAGAATCGAAGACGCTTGTCGAATATTTATGAAAACGAAGTGCTCTCGAGAGCAGTTCGCGTAAAAATGATGTGCGACGGTGACGGTGGCCGCGCGAGGGGCTATTAATGCTTCCGGTATCCTGCAACGGTAATTTTGGCGGGGCGTAGGCGAAAAATTTCCGAAGAGAATTTCCCCGTAAACTCGATTATTCGCTGTGCATGTGTGTGTGTGTGTGCGCGCGCGCGTACTACCCGACACGTTTCACCGC